GCTGGGGGTGGGGGGTGGCAGAGGGAGAAGCAGACTCCCCACTGAGCAGGGAGCCCAGTGTGGGGCTCCATCCCAGGACCTTGAGATCATGACCTAAGGTGAAGGCAGACACTTAAGCGACTGAGCCACCCAGGCTCCCCAAGCCTCTGATCATTTCTTGCATGGATTGCTGCAATAATTATTTACCCCACTCTATTCCTGCTGGTCTGCTCTTCTCATGGTTGTCAGAGTGACCCTCTCAAACACAAATCTGATTTACAACATCTCCAGTGACATCTGCTTGTGTGGGATTAAGACCCAAATCCTGGCTGTCCTCACAGAACCAACAGGGCCCTGCAGGACTCCTTACCTATCTGCCTGTCCTGTCTCCTTCCAGCCGGCTCCCCTCCCCCGCCTCTCCCCGGGCTCTTCAAGCTTCAGCCACTCTGGCCCCTATCAGTCCCCCAGTGTCATACTTCTTCCCACCACAGGGTGCACCCCGTGGAATGTTCTTTCGCCCTGCCACCTAGATAACGCCTCTCATCCTTCTCATACCGGCTAGATCATCACTTTCCTGGAGAAACCTTCCTTTTCCTGGAGAAACTTTCCTGGAGAAACCTTCACTGATTTCCTCGAACAAGTCCCCCTGTTAGAGGCTCTTACGATTTCATTTGCAGCAATTACCACAAGTTGCAACTTGATAATGATGGGTGCCATAATTTATTCATGTCTGTTTTCCCTCCTCCCCTGCTCTGGACTCTAAGCTTCATTAGGGTAGAGACCCTGATGGCTTTTGTTCACTCTTGTATCCCCAAGTTTAGCAAGGTGCTTGCCACATAGTAAGTGCTCAGCAAATACTCAGGGGTCTTCAGGGCTGCAAGGCGTTGGGGGGAGGAAAGCCTGAGAGTCTGACTTTCACACTTGACATTGCATTGGTTTGATGTGAGGACTAAAGAAGCTCTGGTCTAAATAAGTGCTCGAGGGGCGCCTGGGTGGCTTAGTCGGTTGGGCGTCTGCCTTCAGCTCAGGTCGTGATCCCAGGGTCCTGGGATCAAGTCCTGCATTGGGCTCCTTGCTTGGCGGGGAGGCTGCTTCTCCCTCTCCCTCTGCCCCTCCCCACCATTGTGCTCTCTCTCTCTCTTGCGCTCTCTTTCAAATAAACAAAATCTTCAAAAAAAATTTTTTTTTAATTAAAAAAAATAAGCACTCAAGTGGTGGGAAAATGCAGGATGATAAAATTCACTATGGTGATTTAGTTCACCTCCGTGAGCTGTAACTTCTTTTGTAAAAGGGGGATAACCAACCTACCTTGGAAGGTTGTTATACAAATTAGAAGTAAGCCACATGAAGTACTCAGTCAGTGGTGCCTGCTACTTTACAGTTGGTAAGAAGAGTGGAAAATAAGAGTATCCAAAATTGGGAAGGAACATCAGGGGCCAAAGGTGGCGCGGTGGGAGCAGATGAGAGGCTGTGTTGGGGAATAACAGGACCCGAGGTTAAAGAAAGTCAGGGAGCATGTGTTGGCGGCCCCAGAGAGCTGGGAGGGCCTGGATGCCTGGCCACATGTCTACACTGGTTCTTGAGAGGAGAGGTGATAGAATGATAGCCTTCCGGGGAAGATTATTATGGCCTCTGTGGCTGATCTTGGTGACTATCTGTATTATTTATTTTGTAAAGCCCCTAGAGGATGGGCTTACAAATTTTACTACTTTTTTGGGTATTACCTAGGAAATCCACATTTATTGTACATAATACTAGAAAATGCATAACAGGTTTTTAAAAAAAATTTTTTTAAGATTATTTATTTGGCAGAGAGAGATATAGCGAGAAAGGGAACACAAGCAGGGGGAGTGGGAGAGGGAGAAACAGGCTTCCCGCGGAGCAGGGAGCCCAATGTGGGACTCAATCCCAGGACCCTGAGATCATGACCTGAGCCGAAGGCAGACACTTAACAACTGAGCCATCAGGCGCCCTGAAAATGCATAGCAGTTTAAAGAAAACAAAGGAACATCGTCTGTAACCCCACCACACAGAAATAACCACCCTTTAATATTTTTGCTGCACTGTGTGTTCTTCCAAATTGCTTTCAAGGCATGTAGTTTGAGGACCTAATTATGTTTTTAAAAATCTGTGAGGAGGCAAGTAGAAAAGGATAGATGGCAGAATTAGAATATACTATTTGCTGCACACCTTAGGAAACTTCAATTATTTAATTTGTTTTTAATGATCCATCAATAGTCTTCTTCTGGTGGGGTGGACCTTTCCTTGGCTTCTTCAAAGCCAGTGACTTCCAACACACCCGAGAGAAAAACGAGAGACATTCTACATGACCTAGAAGAAATCCAGAAGAAATTACAGAAAAACTTCATGTGGAAAGAGGCCTTTGAAGAACAGCCGCAGGGTGAGTTGATTTTATTGGGTGAAAGAGGATTAAATATGGAATTTGGGGGAAATGACAAAAACAGTGACAAATAGCTTTGTTTTTTGGGGATAGGATCCCAGAGCCCAGCTGTGTTGTCCCTGTGCTGTTGTAAATGAGGAAGGGGTGGGCGGAGGTGTTTTTGTGGCTGGATACGTGTTTTGGATATGGCTGGAGGTATGATGTCACCTAGGCCTTTAAAAGATAGAAACTCATTTTCCAAGACCTCTACATCCAGAACCTAGACCTGATTTTGCTGCTTGCCTGTGTTACCAACCTGAGGAGATTCAGAAACAGGCTGCTTTTTTTTTCCCTAGACCTATAATTTATTTGATAGATATGCACATAGCACTTACTTCCTATGTAGCTGGCACTACGCTTGGTGCTTAGAACATAAAGATGAACAAGGTCTCTATCAGCAAGGAGCTTAGAGCTTACGGGGGGGTGGGGGAAGAAACACGCAGTAAAAAAAAGTCCACGGTGAGAACATGGGGCTGCACATACCTGAGGTGGATGTTCTGCCTGATCCAAGTCTGACACTAAAAAAATGTGTGAGGAAATGTGATGAAGCAGACAAGCTGTGTGCCCTGATCACGATGTTTGGATACCTTGTATTTGCCTTTTATTTGTTTATTTATTTATTTTTGATGACCCTTTTTCCCCTTCCCGATTTTCTGAAATTCTTAGTGGAAGTCCAGGAAGCTCCCTATTCCTCTTCATGTCCGCTGCCTAACCAGAGCCACCCAGCCCCCAAGAGGGCCTCCCGGTTTGCTCAGTGTAAGTATGTGGGCTGCTGAACACTTGGATTTGGCCGGCCGGGTCCACCTTTCTGCTGCTGGGTCTCTCCTTGGCTCACAAGGGGATCTGATTACAAAGACAAATGGGATTGAAGACTCCCAAATTCCAGGCTATGCTGAATGGGATTCAGAGACAGCTACCTGAAAGAGGCCCAATGGGGAAGTAAAAATTAAGATGGAAAAAGGGTATTGTGATTAGAACAATACTAGGGATGTGTACAGAAAACTGCAAGTTGATGTACTTGTTTTAATGCCAGTATGAATAAAACTTTATCACACCCAAAGGTACGAAGCTGCTTTGTGCGGGGCACATGGGTGGCTCAGTCAGTTAAGTGTCTGCCTTCCGCTTGGGTCATGATCCCAGGGTCCTGAGCATCGGGTTACCTGCTCAGCAGGGAGTCTGCTTCCCTTCTCTCTCTACCCCTACCTCTCCCTTCTTCCTCCCCCCCCATGCTCTCGCTCTTGCTCTCTCTCTCTCAAATAAATAAATAAAATCTTTAAAAACAAAAACAAATCCCAAAGCTGCTTTTTGCTATTAGAGCAAACCAGTCATATCCTTGCTCTTTTCCTCAGGGGCCATCTGTCCGACCTTTGACCTTCGCAGCCACTCCTATACCCTGGAGGTGTCCAAGGATGGCCGGGCCGTGACTGTATCTCGCTGTCCACAGACCCATCTTGGGAGTCATGAGAGGTTTGTGACCTGCCAGGCCTTATGTTCCCAGGCCTTTTCTTCTGGACAGCAGTACTGGGAAGTGGACACTCAGCATTGCAGCTACTGGGCAGTTGGGGTGGCTTCCTGGGGGATGAAGCGGACCCAGATCCTGGGAAGGACCAGGGACTCCTACTGTGTAGAGTGGAAGGGGACTAGCCAGCTCTCTGCATGGCACATGGTCAAGGAGACTGTCCTCGGCTCAGACAGACCTAAGGTGGTGGGCATCTGGCTGGACCTGCAGGAGGGGAACCTTGCCTTCTATTCAGTGGCTGATCAGGAGACGCTTCTGTATGAGTGCCCGGTCTCAGCCTCCTCTCCTCTGCACCCCGCCTTCTGGCTCTATGGCTTAAATCCTGGAAACTCTCTGACTATAAGGCCAGTAAGGGTGTAAGGGTTCCCTGGGTGTCAGAACCTGGTGGTTTCCTGGCCTCTCCCTCTGCTTTCAAGCTGGTGGCACCTCGACAAGAGTCCCACTTCCAGAGTTAATGGGTGCGCCGTAAAGGGCTAACTGCAGGCTTGGGATGGGCAGACTGCACATTCCCAAGAGAGCGTGGGCCCTTGACTAGTTGCTGGGAGGCAACCCCTAAGCCCTTGGGGTATCCTGCCTGATAAGAGTGTTTGTTTGCTGGAGGGTCTTGGGCCAGGAGGTATCAGCTTGACCTCTAGAGGGACTGGAGACTAAGGCCTGCCCATGTGGCCGACCCCCAGGAAAAGCCTGGGCACCAAAGCTTGGGGGAGCTTCCCTGTTTGGCAGTCTCCTTGTACATTGTCACACATTGTCACTAGGAGAATTAATACTGTTGTGTGACTCCATGGGGAAGGAGAGTTGGTGTCTCTTTGGCCTGTGTCCCATGTGCCTTTTTCTCCTGCAGATTTTAATCTGTATCCTTTCACTGTAATAAACTGTAACCAAGACTACAATCGCTTTGTTGAGTTCTGTGGGTCCTTTTAGTGAATCACTGAACCTGGGAGTGGTTTTAGGGACCCTCCCCCTACAACACGGGGGCAGGTTATCCATTGCTGTGGAATAATACTACCATGAATGCAGTGGTTTCAAACAGCGCTCAGTTATTAGCTCAGTTTCTGTGCACCAGGCGTTAGGGCACAGTTCGACGACTAGCCTCACCAGCTGCAGTTAAGGGGTGACCTGGGGCCATGGTGGCATCTGAAGCTCACCTGGGCAAGGCTCTCCTTCCAAACTCACATGGTTGTTGGCGGCATTCAGTTCCCCGTGGGTTGTTAGACGGAGGGCCTCGGTTTCTTGCTGGCTATTGTCTGCAGGCCACCCTCAGTTCCTTACCCCATGGGCCTCTGGAACGTAGCTGCTTACTTCCTCAAAGCCAACGAAGAAGAGGCGGTCTCCTAGCCAAATGGACATTAGATCTTATATAATGTAATCACACAAACATAATCACATACATCCTGTGGCCTTTGCCTTCTTCTATTGGTTAGAAACATACCACAGGTCCTGCTCACGCTTACTGCATGGGAAGGGATTAGGGAAGAGCAGGAATACCAGGAGGTGGCGGGGCATGGGGGCCCCTTACAGTCTGGCCAACACTGGGTGTCATTTTGTTCTCGATTTCACCTGTTTTTAAAAACCATTTTATTACATGACAGAACAGATACAGAAAACTTCATAAAACACATGTGGAATATAAATAATGAATTATTATAAACACCCTTATTAACTACCTTTGGGTCAAGAAATAAAACCTTCTTATCCCCCCGTCCCAGAAGTTCCTTCACGTGTCTTGTCTCAATCACATGACTGGACCTGCAGGAGGGGAACTGGAGACTAAGGCCTGCCCATGTGGCCTGAAAGGAGAATTCTACCACTGAACACCAATGCAGGCATTCTACCTGAAAGGAATCTGACTTTTACAGTAATCAGTTCCTTGAATCTCTTTAGAGTTTTAGCACCCAAATATGCACCCCTAGCCACAAGAGTCTTACCCATGTAAAAAAAAAAAATGGATGTCTTTTTCTTAACTGCTTTGTTGAGATATAATGTACATACTATAAAATTCACCTATTTAAGGTGTACGGATCGGGGGACACCTGGGTGGCTTAGTTGGTTGAGCGACCAACTCTTGATTTCAGCTCAGGTCATGATCCCAGGGTCCTGGGATCGAGCCCCACTTCAGGCTCTCTGCCCAGCAGGGAGCCTGCTTCTCCCTCTGCCTCTGCCTGCCATTCCCCCTGCTTGTGTGCTCTCTCTCTCTCTCAAATAAATAAATAAATGATCTTTTAAAAAATAATCTTTAAAAATAAATAAATAAATAAATAAAATAAGTGTACAGATTGGGGCACCTGGCTGACTCAGTTAGTAGAGTGTGCGACTCTTGATCTCAGGGTCATGAGTTCAAGCCCCACGGTGGGTGTAGAGATAAATAAATCAATCTTTAAAAACATAAAAACTGAAGTGTACAAAACAATGTTTAGTATGGAGTTGTGAAACCCTCACTGTATTCTAATTTTAGAACATTTTCATCACCCCCAGAAAGATCCCTCATACCCATTAGCTGTCAATGTGTCTTGTAGGTCTCCTAATCTACACATCTCCCTCTCCCTCTCCTCTGCTTGCAGTTCATCCATAGGACCTCAGGCTGGATTGGCACCTGTTTTGAAGACGTGGAAATTCACATCTGGGCTGTGGGGCAGGGTTGAGCAGTGTTGCAGCACAAACCAGCCAGACAACCCTTGGCAGTACATTTAAACTCTTTGCCCTCCTTTCCCTTGTAAGATGGAAATAATTATTATTTGCCCTTCCTTTTTTTTTAAAGATTTTATTTATTTATTTATTTATTTATTTATTTGAG